GGGCGGGCTTCACAACTTGGGAGCTCGTTCGCGGAAGCAACGCCGGTCGCAACCTGCATTTCGTGGCTCCTCTCTCTGCTGCGCTGGCCAACGGCGACGACACGCTGAGCATCACGGCAGACTGCTACTCCACGGCGGGCACTGACGCTGCCATAACAGCAGCCTTGCTGGCCTACTACACCTCCTTACAAGTGGACACTCTGTTGGGGGACTACCGCACAGGGGCAGCGCAGGACGCGGAGACGACCAGCGCCATCACGGCCGCGCTGCTGGCCTACTACACCGCAGCGCAAGTGGACGCGCTGTTGGGAGACTACCGCACGGCGAGCGCGCAGGACACGCAGACGCAGGCCGCCATCACGGGCGCGCTGCTGGCCTACCGGCCGGGCCCGGACCAGGACGTGTTCACAACCAACCAAATCACCTCCGCGCTGGTGGCGTACCGCTCGGCCGCCGACCAGGACACGGCAACGGCCTCAAGCATCGCCGCCGCCCTGCTCAGCTCCTACACCATCACGCAGGTGGACGGTTTGTTGGCCAACAAACTCGGAGTCACGGAGGCGGCCTCGGCGCTGCAAATAGCAGTGCGCTTTCCGGACGACGGAGGGGCCGACGAGGTGGTGGCCGCCATAGGAGAGCAGATCCTGGCCCCCACATACGTCTCACTGTCAAACTGGACGGTTCGCCCCAGCAGCGGCTGCAGCGTGGTCCTGGCCACGCACACCGCGGGAGTGAGCGTGGACGGCTACACCCTGACCCTGGCAGCGAACCCGTGGAACATTGTGCGCACCTACAACTTGACGCCGGGCCGAGAGCTCCTGTTCGCCTGCCGCTACCGGCTCGGCACGGCCTCCAACTTCGTGGTGTACATGTCCGAGGCAGACAACGTCTACGACCCCTTGTACGGCAGCTTCGTGGGCGACCAGGGCGCCTGGAGCACGGCCAAGATGTACTTCACAGTGCCTCCGAACGGAGTTGCAAAGCTGCACTTTGGGGCGCACTTCCAGGCGCCGGGCCTGCAACCAGACGGCAGGAACGGTGGACGTCTACGGCCTCCAGATCCTGGACACAACCCTGGAGACCGGCGACACGGTGGAGGAGGAGGACACAGTGGCCTCGGCCCTGCTGCTGAAGCACAAGTTCCTTGACGGAGGGGCCGACGACGTCACGCTGGCCACCCTGGGCAAGGTGCTGCTGGAACCCACGCTCACCACATTAGGGAATTTTTTGGTGCGCTCCAACCAGCTTCACTGTGGGAGGCTTCCAGCTGGAGGGCTACATAACCCTGAGCGCCTTCGCCTGGAACATTGTGCGCACCTACACCCTGGCGCCGGGGAGACGCTACTCTTTCGGCTGCCGGTACCGGCTGGGCACGGCCTCCAACCTGGTAATGTACGTCAGCGCGGAAGGTGCCGGCACGCCCTCGCAGGGAGTCTGGAGCACGGCGCGCCTGGCTTCTTGGTGCCGCCGGGCGGAATCGCGAAGCTGCACTTCGGAGCCTTCGGCGGGTCTATCCCGCCTGGTGCAGCAGTCGGCGGGCACGCTGGACCTGTACAGCATGCAGATCAGGGCCAGCGCCTTCGAGGGAGACTCGGTCTCCGTAACGGCCTGCTGGCCGACTCGCTGGCCCTCACGGGCTCGGCCACTCTGAACGGACTCACTGCGCAGGGCAACGTGGGCTGCGACCAGCTGCTGTGCAACGACGTGAACTGCACGGACGTGTTCACAACGGGCGTGGACGCCTCGGGCGCAGTCTCCTGCGCAGCGCTCACAGCCACCGGCACCGTCGCCGGAGCCACGCTGACGTCCACCGGCGCCGTGTCGCATCAGCGGGGCGGCCAGCGTGGGCCTGCTGAGCTCGGCCACCGGAATCACCGGCAGCACTCTCACCATCAACAACACGGCCAACGCTGGGAACTTCACCACGGTAGGCGACGTGTCCACGGGCACGCTGACGGTCTCAGGCGCAGCAACCGCAGCGAGCTTCGCAGCCACCGGGGCGGTCACGGGCGCCACGCTGACCATCACCGGTGCGGCCTCCGCGGGGCTGCTGCGCTGCGAGAGCCTGGACTGCACCTTCACGGCCACGAGCGGCGGAGTGTCGACGGGCAGCGTGGTGTGCGGCGACGTGACGAGCTCGGGCACGATCTCCGCGCCGCAGCTCTTCGCGTCCAACACGCTCACCGTGACCAACACCTCCGACTTCTCGGACGATCTCTTCTTGACGAAGAACTGGGCGGGCTGGAGCAAGCTGCAAGTGACCAACAACAGCGCGGCCCCCGACAGCGGCCCGGAGCTGCGGCTGCTGGGCAACCAGAGCGCCAGGGTCTTCCTGGAGCGGGACGGCGGGGCGCACCAGTGCGAGCTCATCATGATCAACGACGAGGCGCTGGTGCAGACCAAGAGCCTCTCGACGCAGCTGTCCCTGACCACGAACCAGAGGAACCCCGGCTGCCTGGTGATTGCGGGCAACACGGGCAACGTGGTCTGCAACACGAGCTTCACGGACTTGTCCGACAGCCGGGTGAAGACGGAGATGGCGGAGGCCGACGTGGCTGAGCTCCTGCAGCTCTTCGACTCCGTGGAGGCCAAGCAGTACAAGCGCCCGGACATGAACGGGGACCTGAGGCTGGGCTTCGCCTCCAACGACTTCTCAGGAGCGAAGTGGAAGAATTTGACGGGCACGGCCCGGTGGAGCGACGGCACCGAGATGATCACCCTCGACTACACTCACCTCACCAGCGTGCTCTGGGGGGTGTGCAAGGGCTTCCAGGCCCGGCTGGACGCACTTGAAGCCTGGCAGGCCCAGCGGGGGCCGAAGAACAAGTAAAAAATGGAGGCGCTGAGGGACCTGGCCGACGACTTCAACGTGCGGGACCCGCGGAAGCTGTACCAACTTGCGAGGCAGCGCGACCTTGACGTGACGCAGGCCATGGCCTTCGAAGCGCTGAAGGCCGACGTGGGCCGGCAGGTGCAGGCGCCCCGGCCGCGTGCGCTGGGCAAGTCGGCCGCCGAGGGGCCGAACGACCGGCGGCAGGCCGACCTCATCGACTTCAGCCAGAACACGCGGGGGAAGACGAAGTATGGCCTGGTGGTGATGGACGTCTTCACCCGGGAGGCCGCCGTGGAACCTCTGCAGAACAAGAACGCCGAGACGGTGGGCCGGGCCACCAAGCGCGCCGCGCGGGAGCTGACGGGGGACGACGGGAACTTTGCGGTCACGACAGACCTGGGCAACGAGTTCGCCACGCTGGACCGGGAGCTGCCCGCGGAAGCCGTGCACCGAACGATGCGCCCGGAGGACCGCAACGCCACGGCCGTGGTGGACCGGGGAATCCAGACGCTGAAGAAGGACCTGGCCACGCGCGTGGCCCGCAAGGGCGGCCAGTGGAGCGACCACTTTGAGCAGACCGCTTCGGCCTACAACGCGCGCCCCACGAGACGGTGCATGGCGCCCCGGAAGACGTGGAGAAGCAGCCGGCCACAGAGTTCAGGGTCCTCCAAGACAACGCCGACAGGTTCCAGCACAACAAGGACTTGACGAACCGCCGCATCAAGGCAGTGGAGGACGCGGGCGCTTTCCGAGCACCGGCGAGGAGCTTCAACCCTCAGTACGGCGACGTGCAGCAGCTGCGGGCCGTGGACTCCATGACCGTCCGGAGCACCGAGGGCCGGGAGACCCTGCTCCAGGGCAGCGGCAACGCGGCGGGCCGACTGACGAGGCGGGGCAGGCCGGCAGCTGTCAGGCAGCTGGACGACTTCCTGGCGCCTCCAAGGTTACGGCTACTTTGGACCAAACTGGAAACTTTGCATAAAGCGCTGGAAACTTGTACTTTGAGTCGTGTTTTTGGGGAACCCTAGCATGATTTTCCTGAGAGCACCCCAAGTCTCTCGGACGACATCATTATAAAAATCTAAATCCCCATGCGTCCGTGTCCTCGACCTATCGACCTGCCCGAGCAAGACGTCGAGACCGCAGAAGCCTCAGGCATTGAGGCATCTAACAAGGGTTGGACATCTGAGGTGCGCTCAAGACAGCAAGGGTTGGACAGTGTTTTCCTTGCGCAAGCACGCCATCTGTTCACGTGACTTGCCGGGTCTCTGCAAATGGCTGACACTGTACGTCACCCAAAAGCCTAAGAGCTACTTGCCGATCGGAGCTTCACACCCACCATGCGCTCATTTTGCTTGAGGGTGGAGATGGACCGCGGGCCATAGGATTGTCCTTTGATCCCCAACTTCGAGATCACGCTCTTTGCCGCGCCCAAGGTGTCCAGGCTGAGGTAGGTCTTCAGCGCCATCGTCAGCTCCGTGTGGAGGCTTGCTTCCTTCAAGGGCACCAGCTCACACAGCCCTGTCATGAAGGCCTCGGGTTTGGCCTCCTCGTCCTTGTCTGCGCATGGGACCAGGTCCATGGCGCTCATCTTCATCTCCGGTGGCTGCGGCTTGATCTCGGTGCCTGGGTTGTACTCCATCTCCAACGAGTCCACGAGATTTGCCGCAAGGAAGAACATGTACTTGTTGAACTCTCCTCGGTTTATCCGGGTCTTGAGGCCATCCACGGCTCGCTCCTCGGTGGCCATGGACAGCTTCAAGGTGAACTTGACCGTTGTCTGGCAGACTCGAAGCCGCCGCAGCATCCCATCCGGTCGAGTCACACGGGGAGGGGAATTGCTTGTTGCCACCAGCAAAGCCGTAGGCATGAAGTCCCGGGGACCCTTGTTGAGCTTCCTGCTGCAGACTGGCGCACCTTCCATGGCACAAAAGGGCTTGATGAAGTCATCCGCCAACGAGTAGTGCTCGGGGACTTCACTGGCCCAGGCCAGCCGCTTGCCTAGAGTCCTTGCATGGTAAGGCGCGGGTCCGTCCTTCGCGGTCAGGTAGCGAGTCTGTTGCACCACATAGTTTCCCGGAAGCTGCACCCCGTAGTTGTCCTTGCCGTGACCGAGGAAGGCGTGCAACATCTTCACCTTGGTGTCCTTCCCGGAATCCTGGCTTCCCTAGATGTAGTACATCTCGCAGAACCGCGGCGTCGCGGAGATGGCCCTGGTCATGAGACGCAGCTCGTAAAGGACGGAGTCCCAGTCCCCGTGCACCTTCATGTGGCGGAGGATCTCGCACCCGTCCTGCTCCAATTCCTCGAAGCACTCGATGACCTGTTTGCCATTCTCGCTGGCCTCGAGCAGACACACCCCCGTCTCCAGATGCTCCTTCAAGAAAGCCAGGATGTGCTCGAAGAGCTTGGTCGCCTTGCTCGGCTGCCACATCTCTGAGGTCGCCTTTGCGTGGAAGCCCATGCGGTCGGCGGGATCGGTGATCGGAGGACACGCTCCTTGAAATCGTAGAGCATGCCGTCGCAAAAGAGGATTTTGTGCCGTGTCTCGTCGCCGTCGAGGTCCGCCATCTGCGGGCCTGCCAGACGCCCCAGAACGGACGAGGACAGACCGGTGAAGAAGGCATTATCGTTGAGGGGCGGCGGCGGTACGTAGTTCTCATCGGCTGTCTCGAAGACCGGGCAACACATCTTGCACATCAGGTCTTCCACCGTCTGGCCCAAGTCGTCCCGGTTTCGCACCAGCCAGAAGCCTCCCTTCTCGAAGCTTTCGTAGGTGGTCCTCTTCTCACCCCCCTCCACCGGAACGTGTACGACCGGGACCAGCTGCGCCGCCGCCAGCTTCGCAAAGTCCACGGTGTGTGCCCTCGCCCGTCCAAGTATGACGTGCTGCCTGCAGCGCTGGAGCAGTTGGTGGTACCCGGAGAACTCCATCTTCGACTTGAGTCTCCAATCCAAGTTGGGGTACTTCGCCGCCGCGAATGCCCACGGGTCCTCCAGCTCGTGCACGACCACCTCGACATCCACGGCTCGCTTCACGGCCTCGCTCGCGGAGCGGAGGGCCCCGATGCCGTCGTGCTGGTGGTCGTTGAAGGCCCTGCCCGCTGCCGCCGCCATCTTCTCCATCTGCAACCTCTCGTGGTGGGCGTACAGGGCAAAGGCCCCCGAGGCAGTGGAGCGGCCCAGCTCCATGTGCCAGTCCTTGGCCTTCTGTGGCAGCAGCTCAAAAACGGCCACGTGGTAGAGGCGCGCCGCCGTCTCGAAGCCGTAGAGCCAAGCAGCCACCTCGCCGCGCTCCCCCTCATCCGAAGCCAAGGGTATGTCCTGCAGCACCTTGCTCGTCCAGTTTGCGAAACCACCCCCAAAGCCCAGGGCACTCATCAGCTCCTTCGCCACGCTGCGCCGGCGGGCCTCGGGCAGCTTGTGGAAGAGCACGCGGCCGATCTGCGCGAGCTTCTCCTCACGGTGGTCCAGGTACTCCGCCATGATGGGCGGCAGCGGCTTCTGTCGGTTCGAGAGCTGGAAGAACGAGTTCTTGATGTCCAGCTCGACGGTTCCAAGGCGATGCCGCGCAATGTAGCGGACCAACTTCTTGAAGGCAAACGCAGAGCGCCCCACAATCGTGTCTGGGACCCCCATCTCGATCTCCTTGCGAATCTCCGGCGGCAGCTGCTTCATGAACTCTGCCCGAGCGGAATCCACGGCGCCCTCATTGCCTTTGCGCTTTTTGGCAGGCGCCTCCTGTGCGGGCACCCGACCGATGCCGGAGAAGATCCGCCCCTTCAGCCCAGGCGCGGTGCGGCCTGGGCGCAGGAGCACGGGAATCCACCCAACGCCGTCCTGGTCCACATTCACAGAGCGCTGGAACAGGCTCATCAGCACATCAAAGAGACTGTGGTCGGGGCATCGCCGCACGGCGTCGAGCTGCAGAGCGTTGCTGATGGTGAACACGTCCGTCCGCTCCCAAACAAGGCGATGGTGTTTTAGGTTATCCTCGGGAGGCTCGGTAAACTGCTCCTTGAACTGCGTGTAGTGCCCCAGTTGGGCGGGTGTCGGAAGCTCTACCTCCTCCTCTACCTCCTCCCCCTCCTCCTCCTTGACCTCCGTCTCCATCTGCTCCGCCGGCTCCTCCGTCTCCGTCTCCATCTGCTCCTCCGCCGGCTCCTCGGCCGGCTCCTCGACCGGCCCATGGGCCTCCGTCTCCTCCTGGGCCTCAGCCGGCTTTTCGGCCGGCTCGTGGGCCTCCGTCTCTGCCGGCTCATGGGCCTCCGTCTGCTCCTGGGCCCTCCTCCTGGGCCTCAGCCGGCTTTTCGGCCGGCTCCTCCGTCTGCTCCTGAACCTCCGCAAGAGCCTTTGAAAGATGCGTTGGAGCTCCCGCACCGACTCAGCTTCCTCGAGGTTGGCATCATTGAGGTTGAGCCACTGGAGCCTCGCCAAGGCTTCCTGGCACACAGATCTCTCAAGGCGCTTGCGCCGACGGAGAAGGCCGTCACAGAAATTGATGACCTCTGCGGCGGTCTCCACCGGATCTCGGATCTTGCACAGCGCGCGGTGCAGAAGCCCCTCCAGCTCAGTCAGGGGCCGCTGGCGAGTAGCGTCTGGATCACTGCCGACCGCCAAGCTCTTCATGCTCTGCATCTCACCGAAGGCCTCTCCAGCGCGGGGGTCCGTGCACTTGTCCGGGTGCACCAAGTGCATCATCATCTTGAAGCAGGACGACGCAGAGCCGGGGAAGATCCTGAAGCCGCACTTCTCGCCAACTCGCTGCGTTGGGCTCAGCACGAGCTGCACCGCCAGGGACCGCGCGGCATCCATGGTCATGGTAGGTGTCGAAAGCTAAGTTCCTTCTGAGAAAATGCTTCAAAAGATAAAGAAGGCACGTCCCAGCAAGTACCCGAATGCTTGGCAATGACTGGCAACCAGGCCCCGGACATTCGGAAACAGCAGCCGAAGTCGAAGGCGTCTGAGCGGCAACTCCACCCGGTCCTGGAGATGCTTGTCAAATGGCCTAGTTCTGTGCCCCCCCTGAGGCGGTTTTTTATTTATATAAAAATCTAAATGCTTCGATCCCTCGTGCTTCGATCCCGGGCATCCCGTGCTTTCTGTGCCCCCCTGAGGCGGTTTTATTTATATAAAAATCTAAATGCTTCGATCCCTCGTGCTTCGATCCCTGGCATCCCGTGCTTTCTGTGCCCCCCTGAGGCGGTTTTATTTATATAAAAATCTAACTGCTTCCATCCCTGGCATCCCGTGCTTTCTGTGCCCCCCTGAGGCGGTTTTATTTATATAAAAATCTAAATGCTTCCATCCCTGGCATCCCGTGCTTTCTGTGCCTCCCTGAGGCGGTTTTTTATTTAAATAAAAATCTAAATGCTTCCATCCCTGGCAGGTTATCTCCCGTGCTTTCTGTGCCTCCCTGAGGCGGTTTTTTATTTATATAAAAATCTAAATGCTTCCATCCCTGGCAGGTTGTCTCCCGTGCTTTCCGTGCCGCCCTGAGGCGGTTTTTTATTTATATAAAAATCTAAATGCTTCCATCCCTGGCAGGCTGTCTCCCTTGCTTTCCGTGCCCCCCTGAGGCGCTTTTTTATTTATATAAAAATCTAAATGCTTCGATCCTGGCATCCCGTGCTTTCTGTGCCCCTTGAGGCGGTTTTATTTTTCTAAAAAGCTAAATGCTTCAATCCCTCTGCAGGCAGTCTGACAAGGAATGCGAGCGTTTAGGTTTTATATAAAATAAAAACTTTTTTTTTAAAAAAAAAATGAAACACTTCCTCACGACTTGTCAAATGGCCTAGCTCTGTGCCCCTTGAGGCGTTTTTTTTTCTAAAAAGCTAAATGCTTGAATCCCTCTGCAGGCAGTCTGACAAGGAATGCATGCGTTTAGTTTTTATATAAAATGAAAACTTTATTTTTTTAAAATAAAAAGAAAAGAATACTTCCTCGCGGCTTGTCAAATGGCCTAGCTCTGTGCCCCTTGAGGCGGTTTTGTTCATATAAAATCTTAATGCTTCAATCCCTCTGCAGGCAGTCTGACAAGGAATGCATGCGTTTAGTTAGTTTTATATAAAATATAAAAATTTATTTTTTAAAAAAAGAAAAGAATACTTCCTCGCGGCTTGTCAAATGGCCTAGCTCTGTGCCCCTTGAGGCGGCTTTGTTCATATAAAATCTAAATGCTTCAATCCCTCTGCAGGCAGTCTGACAAGGACTGCATGCGTTTAGTTAGTTTTATATAAAATATAAAATTTTATTTAAAAAAAAAAAAGAAAATAATACTTCCTCGCGGCTTGTCAAATGGCCTGGGTCTGGCGCTGGGGGGAGGTTTTTTGGGCAGTGCCGAGTGGGCACGTAGGATTAATACTGCTTCGCCCAACGACCTGGAACTCAGCTCCGTGCGCTTCGCATGTTGGCATCCCTATATCACACACCTCAAGGATGAGGATGGCTTTTTTATTTATATAAAAATCTAAATGCCTGTGTGCCAAGTCGAAGGTGTCTGAGCAGCAGCGGCTCGATTTATTTATATAAAAATCTAAATGCCTGTGAAAAACCGCCTCAAGGGGGCACAGAAAGCACGGGGACAACCTGCCAGGGATCGAAGCATTTAGATTTTTATATAAATAAAAAAGCGCCTCAGGGGGGCACGGAAAGCATGGGAGACAGCCTGCCAGGGATGGAAGCATTTAGATTTTTATATAAATAAAAAACCGCCTCAGGGAGGCACAGAAAGCACGGGAGACAACCTGCCAGGGATGGAAGCATTTAGATTTTTATATAAATAAAAAACCGCCTCAGGGGGCACAGAAAGCACGGGAGACAACCTGCCAGGGATGGAAGCATTTAGATTTTTATATAAATAAAAAACCGCCTCAGGGGGCACAGAAAGCACGAGAGACAACCTGCCAGGGATGGAAGCATTTAGATTTTTATATAAATAAAAAACCGCCTCAGAGGGGCACAGAAAGCACGGGATGCCAGGGATGGAAGCATTTAGATTTTTCTATAAATAAAACCGCCTCAGAGGGGCACAGAAAGCACGGGAGACAACCTGCCAGGGATGGAAGCATTTAGATTTTTATATAAATAAAAAAACCGCCTCAGGGGGGGGCACAGAGCTAGGCCAGTTGGGCGAGCCAGTATCAAACGAGGTTGGGCGGACCAGTACTATGGGCCGTTGGGCGAACCCGTACTAAGGGGGCCGTTGGGCGAACCCGTACTATGGGCCGTTGGGCGGACCAGTACTATGGGCCGTTGGCCGAACCCGTACTAAGGGGGCCGTTGGGCGACCCAGTACTAAGGGGGCCGTTGGGCGAGCCAGTATCAAACGAGGTTGGGCGAACCCGTACTAAGGGGGCCGTTGGGCGAACCCGTACTAAGGGGGCCGTTGGGCGAGCCAGTATCAAACGAGGTTGGGCGGACCAGTACTATGGGCCGTTGGCCGAACCCGTACTAAGGGGGCCGTTGGGCGAACCCGTACTATGGGCCGTTGGGCGACCCAGTACTATGGGCCGTTGGGCGAACCCGTACTATCCTACGTGCCCGCTCGGCACCGTGCCCGCTCGGCACTCCTAAGTGCCCGCTCGGCACGTTTACCTAAGTGCCCGCTCGGCACTGTGCCCGCTCGGCACTCCTAAGTGCCCGCTCGGCGCTACCTACTCCTAATCTAGAGTGCCCGCTCGGCACGTTTACCTAAAGTGCTCGCTCGGCACTCCTAAGTGCCCGCTCGGCACTCCTAAGTGCCCGCTCGGCAATAAAAAAAAAAAACCGCGGGCCCGAGCGCTTTTTCCTCCATCAGGATGAGCTCGAGTCGGCCACGCTCACTCCTGCAGGTTGAACAAACGCTTGAAAAAGCACGCGAAAAAACGCAAAAACACGGTCCTCCCGCCACGATGTCCAGCTCATGCCGCCTGACAAGAACGTTCAAACCTGGCCCAAAGCGGAGAAAAAAAAGGCGCCTTGCGTGGCTTTTTCGCCGGCGGAGCGGCGGCTGCGGCGGTGGCGGCCTCCCAAAAAGGGGATTCAAGAGACAACGGAAGAGCCGATTCCCACCTCCAGCCGCAGCCGTTGGTTCTCCTCGTAGAGGGCTTTGATGTCGGCCTGACGGCTCACTGCTGAGGAAAAAAAAAGGGGGACGCCGCGCTCCTTGTAGCCCTCGATCCACTTCTGCTCCGCCTCGAGCTTCGTGAAGAGGCAGAGGCACTCCATCTCCTGTCAGCCACAACGGTCCGCCAGCCGGCGGAAAAAAAAACGAGCCTTCTCCACGAGCTTCGCCGCCGTGTCCGCGTGCTCCGCGAGCTGGCCGCGGAGCTCGCGGATGGTCGCGTCCTGCAAATGTGATCTTCATCCGTTTATCGTTGAAATTGTACCCGCCTTGACCGCCAGCTCGCGGCGCATCGCGTCCTGGCGGAAAAAAAAAGGATAGCCCACAGCCCCCTCTCACGATACGACGAGCCTTCTCATCGTTGAACGCCTTCTCCCTCTTCACCTTCGACGGCGGCCTTCAAGTGGCGAGATGACGCAAACGCGTGAAAAAAAAATCAGGCCTGCGAGGCACCTTCCACCCGGAGCTGCCGGCGCCATCCCACTCCACCTGACGTGGAAAAAAAGGGGAAAAAACACGAAGGCGAGTCGGGCCTGGTGCGGCCCATGCGGATGCCACTCCTGCCGTGGAAAAAAGGGGGAACAAAAATCGAGGGCGAGTCGGGCCTGGTGCGCTCCATGCGGAAGCCACCCCTGCGGCGGATGCCACTCCTCCTGGCGTGGAAAAAAAAAACCAGGAAAAGACGAGGGCGAGTCGGGCCTGGTGCGCTCCATGCGGAAGCCACCCCTGCGGCGGATGCCACTCCTCCTGGCGTGGAAAAAAAAAACAAGGAAAAGACGAGGGCGAGTCGGGCCTGGTGCAGCTCATGCGGATGCCACCCCTCCTGCCGTGGAAAAAAAAAGGGAAAAAATCGAGAGCGAGTCAGGCCTGGTGCGCTCCATGCGGCTGACGCCACTCCTCCTGGCGTGGAAAAAAAACAAGAAAAAAACGAGGGCGAGTCGGGCCTGGTGCGTCTGACCCCACTCCTCCTGACGTGGAAAAAAAGGGGGAAAAGGGAGAAAAAAAACGAGGGCAATTCGAGCCTGCGGCTCCCATTGGCCCCAGCATTCCTCCTGACAGCAACACACCCAGAAAAAAAACCGGCACGAAAAACTTCGAATGTCCTCCGTGACTCCACTCATGGCCGGGGCGCTGATGTTGCTGGTGCTGCTGATGCTGTTGCTGTTCACTAGTGACCCCTACCCGAGCCTGCTCGCACCTAATGCCCGATCCGAGCCTGCTCGCACCTAATGCCCGATCCGAGCCTGCTCGCACCTAATGACCCCTACCCGAGCCTGCTCGCACCTAATGACCCCTACCCGAGCCTGCTCGCACCTAATGCCCGATCCGAGCCTGCTCGCACCTAATGACCCCTACCCGAGCCTGCTCGCACCTAATGCCCGATCCGAGCCTGCTCGCACCTAATGACCCCTACCCGAGCCAAACTGCTGTTGCTGTCCGAGCCAAGAGTGCTGATGCCGCTGTCCGATCCGGGCCGAGATCTTGCGAAGCACAATACAAGGCTCGTCTAACGTTTAAGAAACAAATCCCAGCACCCCCCAGCATCTCCAGCATGCTGAGCATCCCCAGAGGCGTCCCGAGCGGGACATGAAAAAGCGCACCAAAATCATGCAAAATCATGTCATGCCATGCAAAAATCATGCCATGCAAAAAACGTGCAAAAACGAGCTATTAGTCCCGTCCGTATATAGACATACGGACTAGACTAATAGCATTT